ATATGGCTTCCAGTTCCCCACCACCTCTCTCCACCTCTTGCATGGGTGTTGGGCACTGCACTTCCAGAGTACTTTGGAGGGAGGGGAGCAAGGGCTGCCTTAGACTCTCAACTCAGCCAGTCTGGCTTGAGCTCAGCAGTCTCAGGACTGCCACCAGCACCACAGAGCCAACTATTGATGGATAGCTTGCCCAAGAGAGATGCCAACAGCTTCTGCCCAGATGCAGAGATCTGCTCCCAGGGAGGTGGAAGGGGCTGCAGGGGTGGGCATCATTTCTGCATGGTCCTCTAGTCAAATCCAAGGTGCTGGCAGCCTTTCACTGGACCCCATTTCCCCACGTCAGGGCCTGCCTCTCCAGCCTCCCTCCATGCCATCCGTCACCCCAGCGGTGGGGAAGGAGGAGGCCTCCGTAGGAGGAGTGTCACCTGCCTACCCCTCCCTCCTGTTCACTTCTGAATCCACCTCTCTATAGCCTTGCCTATTAATTTTCAAAAGCATCATTTGGAAGAAAGGGAAAAAAAACCCAATTGAGTATTAACTATGTTTTTCTCTTTACGTTTTTCTTTTTAAAAAAGATTTTACCTATTTATTAGAGAGAGAGAAGGAACAGGGAGGGGTGACAGAAGCAGACTCCCTACTGAGCAGGGAGCCCGACATGGGGCTCGATCCCTGGACTCCGGGATCATGACCTGAGCTGAAGGCAGGTGCTTAACCGACTGAGCCACCCAGGCACCCCTTTTCCTTTATATTTCTAATAAGAAAACTGGAATTCTCCTGGGTAATGTTCAAGTTTCTGACTGGCTAGGGGAGAGAGAATAGAAGAAGAAAAGCATAGCAACCGATGTATCCAGGTTTATATGGGAGAAATAAAACACATTTGTATTTAAAGTGGGTCTATATTTAGAATATTTAGATATTTTCATTGATTTTACTTTATAGGTATCTATTTGTGTTTACGAATATGTATGTGTGTAATATATAAATATATGTATGGAGGTATGTATGTGAGTGTACCTCTCAGATCTGATCAGGTCATGCCTAGCTTTAAAAACCTTCCACAGTCCCCTCTTGCGTACTATAGGATAAGGTCCAAACACTCCTTGGCACGGCCTCCATAACCTCTGGCCTCTCCACCCTCTGTCCCCAGCTCCCCTCCAATAGGCCATCTCCCCGCCCCCACACTCAGGCTCTGGCCCTGGGAACATGCATTTGCCTTGCAGTGAACCTTGCTCTTTCCTGCTCTCAGCTTTTGCACTCTGACTATAAACTCCCTCACTCTTTTCCCATCAGGTGCCTGCCTTGGAAACTTCTATTCATTCATCTCCAGTGAGCTCACTGTCCCTTGTGAGCTGAGGCCTTTGAGATCTCTGTGCCAAGCACAGGATACTCCACACCAAGTGAGATCTTGAGGGGACCCCATGGTAAAGGCATGCTCTCACTTCGGTCCCCAGAGCTCTCGGCTCAGTGACCCCTCTGAGAGAACATTTCTCAGGTGTGTGCTCTGCCTGCCTCTCCAGTTACAACCCTCAGGGCAGGACCCTGCCTTACCCCCCAAAGCACATTTTCTGTATCCTGCACAGAGCCCAGCACATGGTTCCCACCCAGTGTGTGTTTGCCGAATGAATGAAAGAGTATTTATAGGTCACAATTCATGTGACAGTTAAGCAGGAAGCAGAGAAACCAAAAGCAAAATGGTGGAGGCATTGCTCAAGAAACAGTAATCAGAAACAGTGATAATGCCGCCCCACACAGATGACTAATTCACTGAGGAAAACAGAATTTGATCTGGAGAGCTGTGGACATGACCACAGCTCTCGAGGAAGGCAGTGGTGGCATCTTTTTGGGTCTTCCCCCTCTGTCATCATGGGTGACCTGTGGGTATAATGATGTCCCAGATCCTACGACAACCAGCAGCACAAGGCCAGGAGGCCAAGGCCCCTCCCCCCAGCCCGGATGGGTGGTGGGGGAGACCCTCTGACTGCCAGCTGCTCCCCAGACATGGGCGGCGACATCTGCAGCTGCTAGGTCCAGCCCCTCCCCGAAGCTTCAGATGGCCCACCTCCTTCCACACATGTGTTGGGGAAAATCCAAAGCCACGTTTTCAATTTCCTACTCCCATTAGCTGTTACACTCCTGGCTGGGTTTCTGGCCTTCCCGGTGGCCAGATCTGGGCTTCAGGCCTGGCCCTGCATGCATCCGTAAGTTTGCAACAGGGTCAGGGGATATCATCGTTCCCTGGCACTCAGCAGCCTCCTAATGACTGTTTTTATTGTCACATTTCCAGTGACTTTCTATTCCTTCCTTTGTATTAACTTCCCAACATTAATCAGTAGGTAAGATCCACAGGGGGCACAGTGCTGTGAACAGTGGCTGGTATACACTAGATATGTTGCTGAATAGCAAATGAATGAATGAATACAAGTATGAATGAACACCTTCTGCTCAAAGACTAGTGTATTCAGACTAAATGAATGAAAGCTGTAGACACTCCTTCGGTTGTTTTTTCAGCTGGATATCTCCCGGTAATCTGTGATGGTTTAAATCTGGCCCTGATTGAAGGACTGGCTAGATGAGTTCGTTTAATTCTTCTGGCCTCAGGATTTCTGGTCATAGGGGCAGGGAGAAGGTAACGGGAGGGGCGGAGGGAAGCGGTGGCTAGAAGGCTTTTGGGAGCCTCATTGCCCAGCGAAATTTCCTCTGGCAGCTTCCCCCCACTGGCCGGGAGCCTGTGCCTGCCTGCCCCACAGAAGGAGGTTGGCTTCAGTTACACTGTGGCCTCCAAAGTCAAGAATGGTGAACGGAGGGCGCCTGCTCCATGGGGCCCGGGAGTGGGGGGGACCGGGGGGTGGAAGGGCAAGGAGCCCAGGCTCCGTGTGGCATCCGGTTTTAAACAACTCTCCTTAGAAATTGAAGAGAACCTCTCCGGAAAATGGGAGGGCTCTGGCAGGACTCCCAGGGCCGGGGAACAGCAAGTTCCTGCCAACTTGCGACGGAAGTAGGAGATTTGTGGGAAGGGAGGAGGGACGAGGGCATTGAAGGAGCCAACACAGCCCAGCGGCGTTTTTCCTGGTAAAAACCCTGCTCTGAAGTAAACATGTTTCTGAAAATCAGGAGAGTTTTTATTCTTCCAGGCTGTTGTGCGCATGGCTGGCCTACTTCCTGTGAGCGCAGTTATTCCCAGGTGTGTGTGTGTGCGTTTGAAGAAAGAATATTATAAGCTATTAATGGCCCCTGCCTGGGAATGCACTGGGATAACAGAATGCAAAAATCAGCTTTACCTCTTCATGTTTCTGAGGCAGGAACAGGCTTTCTCGGCTCTTCCTTCCAGGACAGGGCTGGGAAAGTCACTTTTTCTCTTGGGTGAAGTTTCTTTCCAGCTCAGTTCAGCCAGAGGGCCAATAATGGCCGCCTCAAGGTTTCATTTTTAGGCCAGAGAGGTTAAAGAATCTTGATGTGCAGAAAATTTGCCCTTGCTGACTATTTCAGCAAGTTGAACTCTGGGAAGGAAGGCTGGTGGGGTCGGGAGTAGGGGGTGGGGGGGGGCACCAAGGGGCCTTAATGAGGAGGGTGGGGGGAATAGTAACCATCTTCAATTGCAAAAAGATCTAAAATCCGCATGGTTGCCAAAAGACCCAAAGTGGATGAACAAACCACCAGTCTGCAATAACCCACTCTCCTTTCCAGAACCTCAACCCATAGCTGTCCTCAGGGAATCTGGGGCATCTCACAATCACTTTGATTTCAAACCTGGTTCACCTGGAAAACTGGTTGGGTAGGGGGAGACAGAGGGAGTTAATAGGTTTTTAAAAATTAATTAATTAATTATTATTTTTTAACTAAACTCCACACACAGTGTGGAGCCCAACAGGGGGCTTGAACTTAAGACCCTGAGATCAAGACCTGAGCTGAGATCAAGAGTGGATGCTTAACTGACTGAGTAACCCAGGTGCCCCTGAAATGGGTGCTTTTTAAACCCACCTTCTCCACAAGACTTTCCAAGATGATAGATCATCTGGGCTACTATAGGGACTCCCATGCCTTGCTCATGGTGGGGGGTGTGTTGTTACAACCGCTTGGGAAGACTCTTATTACATGATATAGGAAAGTTCAAGATGTACAAAAACTACAACCCAGCAATTCCTTTTCTGGTTATGTGTCCTAGAGCAACAGTTCTCAAGACTATTGGTCTTGGGACTCGTTTACACTCTGAAATGTTATTGAGGACACCAAGTAATTGAAATAATTTTGCGTAGGTGAGTTATATTGACTGATATTTACCATGCTAGAAATTAAAACTAAGAATTAAAAAAAATCAATTCATGTAAGCATACCAATAACAGAGCTATAACGTAACAACATAAATTATGTATTTGTGAAAAATAACTACATTTTCCAGTGGGAAGAGTAGAACTGCTCAATAGTCTTGCAAATCTGATTTGTTAGAAGACAGGATTGTCAGGGCTTCCACATCAGTGTGTTGAGATATCTCTTGGCTTGTAGCTGCTGGAAAATGCCACTATTAGGTGAGAATGAGGGTAAAAAAGGCAAATAACATTTTATTATTATGAAACTAGTTTTGACTTTGTAGATGCCCCTGAGAGGGTCTTAGGGGCTTCCAGAAGTCTCCAGACCACACTTTGAGAACTGCTGCTTCGGAGAAAATTTCCTATATCTGTCCCAGCAGATGTGTACAAGCATATTCAGAGTGGCATTATTTATAACAGCGAAGAAACCCGACTTAACCATTTATAAATAGTAGAATGGCTAAATTGTAGTATATTCATAGTATTGATGAATCTCACAAATCATACTTTAAAAAAAGACAAAAAAATGATTTCATATTAATAGAGTTCAAAACCATATAAAATATGTCATTTAGGGGTATACATCTACGGTAAAACCTTAAGGAATGGCAAGGATGGTGGTTGTCTCTGTAATACCATTGCTGAGGGATAGACCTGAAGTTTCAGAAACGTTTGCTTCGTTTATAATGGGCTGCAGGAACAAGTGCTGAAATCTTCATGGCTTAAGGACAGAAAAGGTTCATTATGGGCCCCTCATGTCTCCAGTAAAACTGGTGGGGGTGGGGGAGCATGACAAATCCTTCTCTTCAAGGCCATCCCAAAGCGGCACTTGTTGCTTCTGCTTCCATTCTATTGCCTGGAGCAAGTCACACGGCCGGATGTAACTTCAAGTACAATCTGATCATGGACCCAGGAGGGAAAGTGAGATGTTAGGGTCATTTGGTGTTGTTCCACTTCTAAAGTTGGGTGCTGGGCTAATTATTACATACTACATATATTTATAGATAGATTTATGTTTATTATTATATACTGTATATGTATATATCTTATATATGCATATCATTTTTAAGTATAAAATATTGGGAGAAAGAAAGGAGAGAAAGAAAGAATAGGCCCATAATTGTGCTGAACAAATTCATGTATTTGGATTAAAAAAACATGGGGGCTGAGAGAGGGGAAGTTGAGAGCTGAGCGGAGAAGCGTTTGCAGTGCCTGGAGCAGCGGTCTGTAAACTGGGGTGGGCTATGCCCAGGGAGCACAAAGACATTCTAACGGTTTGTGGTGCAGATGATATTAATGATATTCATTTCTAGATGCTCACATTCAAGTGTCCCCTTTTACTAAAGCTGGTCTCCCTATGAATGCTCCCATGTTTGGGTTGCTCTCCCCCCTTCCTCTTGCAGAAGTTGTCCTTTTCCCATGTTTGGCAGAAGTAGGATGTGGTCTATGTTGTTCAATCTGAGCATTTGTAAAAATCTTCGACTCCCATCAGACACAATTCAAAGTATTGGTTAAGGCTGAGTAAGTGAACCACTCCTATGACTGGACTACAAATCCTTTGGCAAATCAGACATTATCCTATTACTCTAACAAAGGTGAAGGAGAAACTAATGAACATTTAATATTATCAGATGATAAATCACTAATAGTAGTCTTGTCATTATGTGTGATTCTGGGCACACTCCTCAGAAAGAGTTCACACAAATAATGCCACTATAAAAATACACCTCCATTCTGAACATTTTACTGGCATCTCTATTTTTAAAAGTGAAAATTACAGATGAGAATTGATGTGGAAACTATTCTCAGAGAAAGTTATATTCATCCACGGATAGATGAAAAAAAGTACTAACCATCACATTAAGAAAGGCCTCCCTTCCTTCCTTTCTTTCTTTTTTAAATATTTTATTTATTTATTTGGCACAGAGAGAGTAGCCAGAGCAGGAACACAAACGGGAGAAACAGGCTTCCCGCAGAACAGGGAGCCTGATACGGGGCTTGATTCCAGGACCCTGGGACAATGACCAGAGCCGAAGGCAGACGCTTAACAACTGAGCCACCCAGGCGCCCCCAAAAAAGGCGTTTCTAATAAAATTTTACCTTCTTAATAATAGTATCTTACCCAAATGTTCAATAAACGGGTGATACATTTATGTTGTTTTTACAAATTGTGTGTTGCTACTAATTGTGATGATAACTAATTCTGGGAGACAATCTTTTCATACTGTAAATCAGCATTGTTCCATAGAACTTTCTGCAATGATGGAAATGTCCTCTATCTGCTCTGTCCAGTGTGGTTCCATGAGTCACACATGGTTACTGAGCACCTGAAGTGTGGCTAGTGGGAAGGAAGATCTGAATTTTGGGTATGCCTGGGTGACTCAGTTGTTTGAGAGTCTGCCTTCATCTTAGGTCATGATCCCAGGGTCCTGGGATTGAGTCCGGCATTGGGCTCCTTGCTCAGTGGGGAGCCTGCTTCTGCCTCTCACACTCCCCCTGCTTGTGCTCTCTCTCTCTGATAAATAAATAAATACAATCTTAAAAAAGAACTGGGGGGTGCCTGGGTGGCTCAGTTAGTTGTGTCTGCCTTCTGCTCAGGTCATGATCCCAGGATCCTGGGATTGAGTCCCATGGCTGGCTCTCTGCTCAATGGGGAGTCTGCTTCTCCCTCTGCTGCTTCTCCTGCTTGTGCTCTCTCTCTCTCAAATAAATAAATAAATAAATAAATAAAATCTTAAAAAAAGAAAAAACTGAATTTTAAATTTTATTTAATTAAAAAATGTAAATAGCCACAATGTGGCTAGTGCCTATGGTTTTAGACAGCATAGCTGTAGAACTTCATGACCACAGAAAAAGAAAGAAATTAAATTTGCATTTGTATACATTTTTAAGAGAAATATGATAAGGTGATTAAAAAAAGCTTGTAATCATAAATGTATATTATATCAGATGAAGTTCTATGGGGAAGAGAAATGGAAATCGAAATTCAAGGAGGAAATGAAATAATGTAAAATTTCTGACCTAACGAAGAGCTCATTCATAGTATTTTAAAAAGGATAATGGATAGTATCAATTGCTATCACATTTAAATTCTACTTAGATACATTTAAATGAGTGACAATAGTTATTTCAAAAAGTTTAAACTGTTAAATGTTAAAATGTTTCACATTTACAGTGGAATTTAATCTTTTGCCCTATTTCAACTTAAGATGAAAATTTTCGGAGACCAACACGCAAATGTTTAAGGGAGTGCATAAGGTTTCATAATTCCTTGGAAGGATGTGCAAGCAAAATGCTTGCAGACTCCTGAACTAGATGGTACTCATTGTTCCTTTCAACAATTTGGATTTTGTAGATATGATCCGACGGGTCACTCTAGTGAGTGGGTGCTGTAAGTATCATGGGGATACATCCCCAAATGTACAAGTTCACTTGGAAACAAGTGTTCTAACAAAAACCAAAATCCAAATACACAAGCCCAAAATACACACTTCTTCCCATCTCTCTTTCACACACACACACACACACACACACACACCCAAGAGACCCCCCCCACACTCTTACACTAGCGGTTCGGGTGCAGGGAGTTCATGAACTACTCTTTGGAGAAACATGAGCTCAGTTAGCGATGTGGGGTGGTCGGAGACCTCTCCAGAGGTGAGGGAGGCCTCAGAGAAGATCATTAAAGATCAAAGATGCCTTTTGAAGTGGTTTGCATCACTGCAACACCCCTCCGCCTAAGCGGCCCTTCACATGGCTGTTCGGGTTTGGTGGAAATCAAGGCCAGGGCCTGAGTCGCAGGTGCAGAGCACACAGATGGCAGAGTGACTCAAGCTGAAAGAATCCAGAGGAAGCACAACCTAGGAGCCGGGTGAGCCCGAGAACGTGAGTCCACTCTCACCCTCCCACCCAAGAATAGGCAGATATCTGGAGACATTAGGTTTTCCATGGAAGTGGGCCTGAGGCTGAGGTTCAGGTGTGATGAACCCAGCCTGGTGACCCTCATTCCAGCCCGGCCTCTCTGTGGTGCTGCTCAACCCCAGGTATCAGGGATGGCTCAGCCCGTTCTCAGCAGCAGCAAGAGAGCAGGAGGGACAGGAGAGATGGCAGACAGGCCTCTGAATGACCTCAAGTCACCAAAGCCACCAACCTACCACGGTGCTGAAGGGACTGACAAACTATTCTCAAGAGGCAGGGATTGCCTCCCACAACAGGGAGTAGTGACAGCCAGAGGGGGGTGCACCATTCTGGAAGTGGATAGGGAGGACAGTGTTAGTCATGTTGTGGGAACTGGGATTCTGGATTGGCAGTCCTGAGTCACCCTCTGATTGGCGAGGGCCAGGCCTCCCTTTCCACAGGGCCAGCCCAGGTCTGGCAGGCGGGAGGGGCCCGTGCTCAGCATTACACTGGGACCAGCTCCTGGGAAGCAGCAAAAGACCCAGGTGGCCTTGACACCACTTCAAAGGCTGGTTTCCAAAGCTTATCCGCAGGATTTTGCACAAGGCCCAGGCTGAGGCTGTATAAGAATTTTGAAAATGCAGGGAAGCTAACACAGCTTTCTTTAGACAGGGCTCAGGCTGTAGGCAGGGTACTTACACACCTCTTTGGCCCCAGTGAAAGCAAATGACAACATTAGCCCAGAGCTGGAGGAAACACAAACATTACGTTGTAAGAAGATGGGGTAATGACTCCAAGAGACTCCAAGAGACAGGAGATGTAAAGAAGAGGCCACATCTGCACTTATCTGGGCTTTGTGTGTTGTGCTGTGTGTCATCTCGGAATGCCTTAGGCTCTGGTGGCCCATCACGTACTGATGCCTGGGGCAAGGGATGTAAGAGCCAACGGCAATGTTGATGGCCGCTGTGGGAGAATTCTGGAGATCTTAACCTGGAATGAGGGAGAAGGGGGCATTCATGCATTTAACAGACATTGAATCCCTGAAAAAAAAAAATCTCTAAAAACCAATCATTCTCAACTTTTATTTTAATGCAATTCACATGACCTTTCCCTGTATGACTCAGCCCCGTGGACAGTGCAGGATTTTGAGACAACTGTTAGATTTGTGTGCAATTCCTGGCTCCCTGGTCCTAATTCTGTCTCTGCCTCTCCAGCCTGGGAGCACAGGGAGAATGCATATAAGAGTATTTCCTTTCTTTCTCTTCTTTCTTTCTTTCTTTCTTTCTTTCTTTCTTTCTTTCTTTCTTTCTTTCTTTCTTTCTTTTTCTTTCTTTTTTTCTTCCTTTCTTCCTTTCTTTCTTTCTTCCTTTTTTTTTTAGATTTTACTTATTTGACAGAGAGAGAGATCACAAGTAGAGAGAGAGAGAGGAGGAAGCAGGCTCCCCACCCAGCAGAGAGCCCAATGTGGGACTCGATCCCAGGACCCTGAGATCATGACCTGAGCCGAAGGCAGAGGCTTAACCCACTGAGCCACCCAGGCAGCCCTAAGAGTATTTTCATTAGACGGTAACCCCGAATAGCTCAAATTCATTAAAGCAGTCAATTCTTTGCAAAATTGATAATGAGCTGAAGTTGTATCTCTTTTATCGGCTCCCCAGTTTGGCTCCAGCTTCATCCCCTCCCCCGGCCCCCCTGCATTGTCAGTCTGACCATCTCTCTTTCCCAGCACCACTGTCCTGTGATAAGCCCAAGATATCAAGGGTCCTGGAATGATGATTTGAAACCGCAGGGTCACTCGTGGCCTTTTGAGCCACTAGAGTCACCTGGGATGCATGACTTCAGGCTGGGGGTCCCCTCAGTCATTGCCAGGGTTCCTAGATGGCCACCAAAACCAGCGGGGCCAGAGCCTGGACAACCAGCTAGTATGGCTGGTACTTGCTGCCAGTTTATAATGTCATGGCCTTGTTCGAGCTCCAGAGTCCTGGTTGCTGTACCCCTAAGGCTGGGACTCCTCTTGTTGCTGATCTTGGAGTCCTCTTGTTGCTGATCTTGGAGTCTGTGGCACAGCCAGCAGCCCTGGCCCATGTCCCACTTTTGAGTACAAGACAGGACCATCCCTGGCCCCTTCGATGGCAGTCAGTGAAGGCTGCTGCCCATCTGGAGCCACAAGCAGCCATGTCCTCCTGAGCAGGTCAAACTAGGCCTAGGTGTCTAGGCCTCCCTGAGCAGGCCGGTACAAGGCCAGGTTCCCATATCTGCCTCAGCTGACCCAGAGCCACTGCTCCTTTCTCCCCCTGCTTTCCTATATCCTGAGCCCATACCCAGCACCTCTCAGTGAATGAGTGAAGTGCCTTTTAAGGAGGCAAACTTTAATAGTTTTCCTCAGTAACAAAGTCCTTGGAATCCCTTGGAAGCCAAGGGGTTGTGACTCTGTTTGTGAGAACTGTGAACTTGAAAGTGAACCCTCAGCACAAATGTCTTCTCAGCCCCAAACCAAGCTCTGAAAACCAAGAGCCCCAACCAAGCTCTGAAGCTTTTTGCCATCTCGTTTTGGGAAACTGTGACATCATGTGTTAGAATTTCCTTCCTTTGGGGGCTTCTGGATGGCTCAGTCAGTTAAGCGTCTGCCTTCAGTCCCGGTCATGATCTCAGCATCCCGGGATTGAGCCCCACGTCCAGCTCTCTGCTCAGCAGGGAGTCGGCTTCTCTCTCTCTCCCTCTCCCTCTGTGCTTTCCCCCTCTCTCTCTCAAATAAAAAATAAAATCTTTAAAAAAAAAAAAAAGGAATTTCCTTCCTTTTGAAAGACAAATGCTATTCCATCATAACTATATACCACACTTTATCTATCCATTCTTTCATTAAGGGACACTTTGGTTGTTTTTACCTTTTGTTCTTCACACCCTCTTCTTAACCATCTCGACCTACAAGTGACCCATGTCATTTCTAACAGCATTCCATAAGGGAACTCATTGCATAGTTCTACCTATATATGAGGTGATCAGGACATGTAATCCCTGGCTGGGCAGCCACTTCCCAGAAGGAAGGCAGTCTATGGAAGGGGAGGCACAATTTGTTGGTGTCCCTGCCACTCTTTCACCTTTGTACTTCCTGTAACAACTATTTGCCATGGCTCAGGGAGAAAAATGTTTTTTTTCCCCCCAGTTTTGGTTCCTAACAGGACAGAGGTTTTGAGGTCTAAACGCTCTTTCAGTAGCTAGTGATCACTACTCTTTGTGTTGTCTTTTGCAGTTTTCCTTGTTCTTTGGATGTGGTGTAGTGGTTTGAGTTCTGATTCTGCCTCCATCGCTTTCTCACTGGGTGAAGTTTAAAAAACCCTCAGCACTACAATAAATTCAGTAAGTAGTAATTATTAGTCTTCATAACAACACAAGGTATGCATTCTCTCCCCATCTGTATAGGTGAGGATCATGAGCCCCGGGGAGATTAAGATTAACTTATTCAAAGTTACCCAGGTCAGAAATGATGACCCCGTTTCTCTGTCTACCCTTCTTTCTGGGGAGCCATCATCATAGGTTTAAAAAGCAACCTTGATGTCCTACAAAGGGTACTTTGGTCCCCCAAAACAAAACTCTGCTCCCCTGCACACCCTCCTTGCACTACAGCTGGTGGACATTGTCCTCTAGGACCCGAGCTGAGCCCCACTGGAGAATGTAGTGAGGAAAGGACAAGAGGTCTCCTCACTCAGGAGCCTTTCCTGTGCTCCCGACCCCAAGGAGCTTCCCAGGACATGTGCAGCACACAAAAATATGTCTTCCCCTGCTGCTGCTATGGCCACTTTCCAACAACATTGACAGAGCCCTTCCTATGTTCTCAGAGGTGTAAGTAAGAATGAGAAATGACCCCTCTCCTCCAAAGGGTGCATCATCCAACCAGGGAGACAGATAGGTGAATAATTTCATACCATGTGACAACGATGTGACCTACAGAGTACTGTGGGAATTCTGATTGGAGTAATTCATTTTGCTTGGTATGTTGTGGCAAGCTACAGCAAACAGGTGACATCTGAGCTGGGTGTACATGGCAAAGAAAGGATTGGGGGGTGGCTCTTTCAGATAGAAGGGACAACAAAGTCTCCATGTGTCAAAGAGCATAGTGTGTTTAAGGATAAAGAGCAGGTAGAGTGAGGGCAAAGCATGGGCAGAGACAGGGCAAAGAGAGGCTGGAGGAGGCTGGGTGGGGCCGGGGTAAAGGGCTGTGATTGAGCAAATCACAAGGGTAAAGGGTTGAGGCAAGGAGATTATTAACTGGGGGCCGATACAATCACAGCTATCTTAGACAAAGCTTCCTCTGGCTGGGGTAAACAATGGAAGACAGGACTGATAATCCATTTCATTCCAACCCCGCTCATTTCCAGTGCTTTGCCTGCCCAGAGCTCACGGATGTGGAAAGGAGCTGATCTCTAACTATTGAAAGTCCTCCTTTCTTGCTTATCTCCAGTCCCTTTGATTTGATGGCAAATGCCAGCAGAGGTGTGGAAAAGATCAAAACGGCGTTAAGATTGATCCCTGAGTTTGGCAGAGCTGAACTCAAACATATCATTCAAAACGGACTGCTGTATCTCTAGAAGCTATATGGGGTATCATCCACTTGTGATACATGTTCCTAAAAAAGTGACCAGGGTTTTGTAAATTGGATCATTTAAAAAGTTGTAGGGGGAGTTCATTGTTTAGAAGGGCTATGTGGCAAATCCATTTTTAAGGAAGTAATTCTCTTGTATGGTAAATTGCTTCCTGATCTAGATTTCCATTATACAGGGGTGCTGAGATACACAGTACAAGGTTGACATCAGAATATACGGCTTAACTCCCTCAAACTGGCAAACCAGCCAGGAATGAAAACATTTTATGGGTCAGTTTATCCAATAACTATTTTCCAAGAAGCCAGCTGTGCCAATCCTGAGGGCATAGTGATGGGGGGACATTTCCTGCCTCCAAGGCCCACAATGGTCTAAAGGCAAAGACAGGTAGGCATACAGCTCACTATGGTATGGCATTCTGGGTGCCATGCATTATGTAAACTGATTAATTCTAATCTCTTCATGTTGAATATCTAATCAAAATACTGAGTTATCTGGTTTTCTCTTCTGCAAACTGGCAGTTATACATGGGGATCCATGTCTAGCATCATGAAAATTGCACAATACCGTTATGAACTAATCATAAATGACACTGTCAGTTTAATACAAAAATCTATTCAGAAAAATTCAGATTCTCTCATCAACATATGTCACTATACTGGCAAAAACATGAATTTATCATTTTATTTTCTTCTCCAATTTTGTTCTAGTCTTTGAGTTGACTTTGTACAACAATGCTAAGGATTCCTTAATTCCTCTGACCCACCCCCTCCCAGGTCTGGGGCTGTGGTGGTGTTCACTGTTGAGGCAGGTGAAATACTCGAAAGTCAAGGCAAAGCCCATGACTTGGTTTCGTAAGAAACCATGAGTCTAAGTTGCTATCAACATATCTTAGCAGAGCAAGTTTTTCTGGGATTCAGAATTTGTTTCAAAGGAGTAAATATGAGTAAGTTAAGAAATGACATTGGGATGCCTAAAAGATAAAAGGATCTTTGGATGAAAGTTATTGGAAAGTGGGTTTGGGACCAAAGCAAGGAAGAATTTGTCATAGTTGGAGTCATCCAAGACTGGTGGAGGCAGTGGACTTCCTGTTGCCGATAGAGGCCAAGCAGAGGTGTGATGAGAGTCAAGGGTTCCCAAACT